CCTTTATATTTCAACACTTTAATTATTGAATGTATAGTAATTTATATTGGTGTTGTGAAAATATGACAATAATAAAATATAAAAAATAAAATTTATAAAAATAAAATTTAATAAATTTTGTAAAAATAGTTATAGTAACATTTTAAATATGTAACGACACTTCTCGTCGCTCCTTTCGCCGGAGTAATACTCAGGGGTTGGTCCTGGGTCGTTACAATAAAATTTAAAAATATTAGAAACCTGCGTTTCAAGTTTTACTTTTTAATCTTTATATATATTAATAAATATACTTAAATCTAACAGTATTTATTCTATGTTTATATCGTATCTGTGTGGTGCCCTATTACAGGATATTCGATAATAGCCAGCGTATCGTTCTTTGGTGCTTGCTGTAGAGTGCTGTTGATTTTTGTTCTTCGATAACTGTTGTAAAAGGGTTAATGGTTATAGATGTTGTTATATATGGACGTGATCACGCCTATATATGATTTGGTATATGGGATAAAACGTGTTCTCTCTTTACGTTAGGATTTCGCAACAGGATATAAACGTGTTCACATTTATATTTGCTACCGTGGAAGGATATAAACGTGTTGTCGCTTATATGCGGTGGCTTTAGGAGGAAAAAAAGGTGTTCACGCTTTATATCAGGATTTCGTAACAAGATATGAACGTGTTTACGCTTATATTTGCTACCGTGGAAGGATATAAACGTGTTCACGCTTATGTGGATTTCGTAACAAGATGTGAACGTGTTCACGCTTATATTTGCTACCATGTAAGGATATACTGTAGGATATATATAAGGTTAGGATATATATGTAAGGATATGTATAAATAAATATTTAAAAAAAAGGTTTAAGTGTTTCCTTTATACTTATCCTTTTCTTTATACTCCGTGTACTGCCTTGGGGAGTTGGTTATATCTGTCCTCAGGTAATGCCTTCGAATGCTTCTGCGTGCTTCTGTCTATTTGGCATGTTGATCACTAACTAACTTTCCTTAACAAATGTGTTGTCTTATATACGCATTCGATCAAACTGTAATGTAGCGTAAGATTAGTTTACAGCTGGTTTGTTTTTTGACGCCGTTGCTGTTTTGCGCATTCGCCGCAGTTCTTTTAATGATATTTGCGCGCATCAGTTTTTGCACAAAGTTCTTTGCACAAAAACTCTTTTTACATTTCTTCTTTTGTTTTGAAATGTGTTTAGCTTAGTGTCGGTAGTGGCAGCTTTAGATATTTATATTTATTTATTAAAATAAAATAAATATTAAAATACTAGGTGACCCCGCGAACTTCGTGCCGCGTATCAGTCAATGAATGTTATATTAAATTTTAGGTAAACGTAGTCTTGAACATCTTGACCAATGCATGATGTTCATCAAGTAGTTGCTGCAGATCTTGAAGAATTACTATTTTCATTGCTGTGTTGTTTCGTCATATTGTCCATGAAGTATACTTGAAAGAATTTATGTTGTGCATCTTCAATAGGTTGCAATGCTCCAATTCGATGGTAAATCTGGCCTTGAATCTGAGGAGTCGAAAGCGAAGTCAATATTACAGATTTATAATGCTAATTTTTTTAAAATGTTAACATTTCTTATTTATTTTAGACACAAATACAGGAATATAACAAAACTTTTTCACCTATATTTCACATTTGATCAAATTTTTTATATTTAATCTCTTAAAGAAAATGAACATTTGCTCTTTTCAACATAAATTACCTTGAACGTCTGATTAAATCCATTGTAGCGTACATGCATATAAAATACACTTTGTTATGAACAGCGACATGGAATGTGCTTAACTAGCATATTTCTGTCGCTTATCGCCCAAGTAACAATATCGCTTGCGCAACAAAGATATGTTATTGTATACTTACCAATGCATGCATGCTACTCCGTATATAACAATAATATGCTTACGTATGCATATGTGCGCTTGTGCACAATGCTTCTTAAGGTAGTTTTAAGACTTTAATTATTAGTTATTAAATAAAGAGCAAAAGACACCATGTTCTTCGATAATGTCTTTTCAACATAAATTACCTTGAACGTATGATTAAATCCATGTTCTTCGATAATGTCCGTCCCGAATGAAGTCATTTGAAAGTAGCTATTGCACTTTTGAAAATCGTGATTCTGGTGTTTCACCACAAAGCAATGAATGCAATGACTCAGGTGGCGAAGTCAATAATGGCAATTTCACTTTACCATTAAGGCAGCACAGTCCCGGCGATTCTCCAGCAAACTTTAATTCTCCGCAATGTTCGCAAGTAACGTCCATTGGACCAATGCGAACGAAAGGATGCGAAGTGTATTCATTTGCGCAATCGTATAGAAACGCTTCTCGATACAAATCAATAGTTGAGGCATTTGTTCTTGATCGTCGGATATTTTCTCGTTCTTGATCTGTGTGATAAGCTCGATGATTTCTCATTGCCAACCGAGCCGTTTCACGGGCTGCCTCTCTTTGCTCTTGTGTTTGAGAAGCGCGAAGGCGGGTCATACTAATGTGGCTCCTTTCTCGTGCGATTTCTCGTTCTTCTTCAGTGGATGCATGCGTAATGGTTCGACGCCTAATTGCATTACGGCTTTGTTGAGAAAGATAAGACTTTCTGGGTCGCTGCATTGCTAATATTAAACACTCGCACAAAACAAACAAATCGATACTTTCACCTCATATATTGATGACAATATTTATTTATTATATTTGAATTTATTATATTTGAAATTTGAAATATTTGAAAAAAAAATTTAAAAAGAAATCAATATCACTCAAACTTTCGAACTGTCAACAGTTTGAAACAGCATTTACAAATTTATTATTTTTGCTAAAATTAGTGGATTTTTCCAATATCCAATATTGTTGGAGACGATTCCAACAAATCAAAGTTAATTAAAATCGGTCCAGCCGTTCTTGAGTTATAAGTGGTCTAACTAACACGACTTCTTTTATGTATATAGATTAAAAAAATTAAATAAAAATAATAAATACATAAGGTAGGTACAATATTTATTTATTTAAATATATTTTACATTCTTTTGAAATATCAATGTAATCTTAGGTTTAATTCATTGAAATGCAGTTGCGTGCATGCGGGGGTGGCTTTTAGTAAGTTGTTTACATTTAATATATTAAATAAAAATTAACTTATTTTAGTTTCAGATATCAACTGCACACTAGTTATATGTAAGTTGGAAATTGGTAAAAATTTCCATCCTTACAAATGGTATTATTAGACCATATACTAATTATTTAAAGTAAATTTTAAGAGCTCGGCCATGGTATTAGTCAGTCATTGTATAGCCTGCATCACTTCACTGTGCTCTTTACGAAGTTTGTTTTCTTCGTCAGCAACATTCCTCATCTTCATCCTAGCAATAAGAGCATTAATTATTCTATTGCGCTCACATGATGATCATGAAGTGCTTGCAGCCGAATTCGTGTCATTCTTAAAAAAAAACTTTAATTACAAAGTAGATAAAAATATATAATGGAAAATAATAGAGAACTCACTTGAATTACTGAGCTAATGGACGATAGCACTGGGCTTGGCGATGGTACTGGGCTCAACAATGACACTAGTCTTGGTGATGGTACTGAGCTGCAGAACTGATTGTACTGTCAGAAGATTATAGCCCAAGAGTTTTAATCGTTTCCACACCATCAACTGTCTCCAATCCAATGCGTTTGTCTCGAAATCGCCAATCGTCCTGCAACTCAACCCACCTCCAGTAAGTCTCTGACTACTTTTTAAGCGCCTTGCTCGCGTACGCAGTTGGCTCTTCTACACACCGAACGTCTATATACAAAAACATGGTAATACATTTCAAAAATGTAATAAATATAAAGCAAATTACCTCTTTCTATTTAGCCACTGTACGAGTTGGACATCTGCGCATGTTTAATTCTTATGCCAGCTGCTTTTAGCTGAGTGCGGGATGTTTTTGGTTGCGCAAATTTCATAATGAGCCTAGAAAAACGATATATATATTTCTGTTTATGTGTGGCACGTTCGTGTTTTGTGTTTCTGTAAATGGAAATTTATATTAAATACAACCCTATTGAATGATATCTAATAAGTGCGCGCGCTGAAAAGTTTAATGAAAAATTTAAGTTGTATCGTGAGAAACTAATGACAATTGGTTGATTACTGAAAATAAACGTTTGTGTAATTACTACGCGTTGGAATGTTGTGCAAAAATTTGATAATAATATAATTTTATTTATTGAGACTTCAGTGGACAAACTAACGTTGTATTTAACAACAGTAAAAAACCAAATATACACAAAAGTGCTTACGATCAGTGGAACTTAAAATTATATTCAGCGTTAAGCTCGATACAAAATTATAGAAAATATACTAAGTATAAAGCTCTAAGTGGTTCTTGTCTGTGCTGTCGGGTTTGTGTATCAAACCGAATTTTATGCTTTCAAAGAAAACACAAGCAGAATTTAAAAAATTAAAAAATTAACTTTTCAGTTATATCATAATACTAAATAAAACATATATATATAAAATGCCAGTTGAAAGATCGCCACCAGCAGACGCAAAAAACGCCACGAGTAAATCGGACCTGTGCACACCGAATAGGCAAGCACAGAGGCAAGAAAAACGTATGCGATCTGAGCTTTCGCCAGACTTATCGCTCGGTGATGTTATGCTGGCTATTCAGCAAATGACGGATAAATTCGAATCGAATATTGCAGGCTTGAGTAACAACTTTGATTCCCAAATAGCTACGCTAGCATCAAAGAGTGACATAGGCGAACTTAAAGAACAGATAGGCAACGTGTCTGTGAAAATGGAAAAATTGGAGAACGAGAACCAAAGGCTAAAACTAGAATAGAACAATTAAGAAATGATAGAGATGAGGACAGGAGGGAGATTGAAAGACTTGTCGAACAAAGTAAAAGTCGTAATGTACTATTGAAAGGTTTACTAAAAGATAAAGCAAAAAAAAGTGATGTGGAGGCAATTTTCCGAGATAAAATGGCTATGACAAGTATTAAAGTTCGAGACACAAAAGTAATATTTGAAAAGAAAAATAAAGTGAGTGTAATTGCAGAATTGGAAACATCAGAAATGGCAAAAGATGTCTTAAAGAATGGTAAAAAACTGCATGGCACTCCGATTTATATTGAAAAGGACTTGAGCTTGACTAAACAGGAAAATAAATCAGCTTTATTACAGCTGAAAAGAGATCTTGAAGCCATCAGAAAGACTCACAAAATTTATGTTAAAAATGACAGTATAAATATATCAGGAAAATGGATGCACTTTGATAAAAACAAGAAACTAAAGTGCAAAGATGGTGACGCTGTTGAGCAATTAAAGCAATTGTATGGTGAGATTAAAGTGGAAGAAGTGCTCGAGAAAAACAAGCTTTTTAAAAAAATAAATCAGCCAAAAAACTGTTAGTAAAAAAGGAAATCGTTAAAGATGCCAAACAAAAAATTGGTAAAAATGCAAATGCCGCCAGGTCAGACACTAAATTAGCATATAAATTTAAAATATTATCGTATAATGTAGCTGGTTTAGCAAATAAGTATAAGTTTATAGAATTTATGAAGTATGTTAAAAAATTCGATATATTTGTATTATTTGAAACATTTTTAGTAAGTAAGACAGATTATATTGAAAACACATTTATAGAATACAATCTTCATTGGGTGCCTGCAACAAGAACAACAAATAGAGGTCGAGCCAGTGGAGGAAAATTGTATGGTGTACGAAAGCAATTGCAATTTTGCGGTACTGTGGTGTACAAGCACATTATGAACTCAACAATAATCGAGATAACCACTAATAATCAAAAGTTATGTTTAATCCCAGTTTATCTAAATTGCAATAACTGGCTAAATGATCTCAATAACTTATGTGAAATATTAGTGGAAGCTCAGAACGAAAATGTCATGATAATAGGTGACTTCAATGCACGAATAGGCAAAGAACAATGTCTGGAATTCAGCCCAAATATGCAGTGGGCTGAACTATTGGGCCACAGAGTAGCAAAGGATACAATTGTAGATAGAAATGGCAAACAATTACTAGAAATTTGCAATTCATTTGGTGTCACCGTGTTAAATGGCCGCACTAAAGGCGACAGAGAGGGTACATTTACGTTTATCAGAGGTGTAGCAAGGTCAACGATAGATTATTGTTTTGTGAAAGGAGTATGGTTAATAATAACTGAAGAGTTTCAAATACGTGACATGATATACTCGGATCATCAGCCACTGGAAATTATGGTAAATCTAGATGCCTCTAATTCAAATGAAAATAAAATGCAGTTGCTACCGAAACTGATATGGAAAGATAAATATAAAGATCTGTACCAAGAAAAGCTTGAAGAATCCCTTAATGCATGCGAAGGTAGTACATTTGCGTCGAAGGAAGGAGATGACATTCTTCAATATTGTGTAAACAAGCAGCAAAATCGTTTCAGGGTAATTCGGCGGGTATAAATAGGAAACAAAAATGGTATGATTTTGAATGTGAAACTGCAAGAAAGAAATCATTTAAATGGCTACAAACAGTTAAAAAAGGTGGTGATATAGCTGATTTAGAGAAATACAAAAATGTAAACAGAGAATACAAAAAGCTGTGTGATGAGAAAAGGAAGTCATATTTCAATGAAATGGCAATGTCGATATCCCAAGCAGCTGATAGTAAATCATTTTGGAGTGGAGTTAAAAAAATAAATCGTGCAGATCACATAAAAGGAATTAAAGTGGACGCCGAAGCTTTGGCGGCACATTTTAAAAACCAGTTAAATAGCAATATAGTAAGCAAGTCTTTCAGTTATGCCCTGCCGTATGTAATAAATGAAGCGTTAGATGCTCCAATAAAGATTGAAGAAGTCTATGCAGTGCTCCAGAATTTAAAAAATAACAAAGCCGCAGGTGAAAACAGAATTCCAGCTGAGTTTTATGCCACGCCACAATTTATAGAGCATATGGCTGAATCATACAATTATATATTTGAAAATGCAGCCCCACCTGATAGTTACAAAAAAGCCATAACATTTCCCCTATTTAAAAAAGGTGACCCAAATAATGTAGCAAATTATAGAGGAATAGCATTTCTTAATACATCAGCTAAAGTCTTTACAACACTCCTGTATAACAGAATTAAAAATTGGGTTGATCAAAACAACATATTAAGCGAATTTCAAGCTGGATTTCGAAAAGGTTACTCCACGGTAGATAATATTTTCGTCATCACTAGTGTAGCGCAAGAGTTTATTGCAAAAAGCAAGAAGTTATATGTTTTTTACGTAGATCTTAAAGCTGCTTTCGATACAATACAAAGAAACGTACTATTTTACAAACTAAGCCAGCTGGGTCTTTCAACAAAAATTTTGAAAATACTGCAAAGTCTATACTGCAACAATGAGTCAACAGTATGGGACGGAAGAAGTACTTCGAGATGGTTTCAAACGTGTCCCGGAGTGAGACAAGGTTGTGTCTTAAGCCCTATATTGTTTGCACTGTTCGTTGATGACTTAAGTAAATTTCTTTCTGGTGGTGTTACGATTGCCAATATGTGCCTAAAAGTACTATTATATGCTGATGATATTGTGTTGTTTGCAGATTCTCCAATAATGTTACAAAATATGATAGATGAATTAAATAGATATTGCAACTTATGGGAACTATCTATAAATACAGACAAATCAAAAGTGATGGTATTTAGGAAACATGCTAGAAGATTGAGAAATGATGAAAAATGGTACCTTAACGATGATCAATTAGAAGTGGTTAATAATTATAAATATTTAGGAATAAATATGAAATATAACGCAAAATTCGATAACCACTTGAACGAGAAATTAAAGGAAGCTAAATTGGCTATTAATTGTACCTGGAAAAATGTCTTAGGAAATCCGAAAGCGTCACTGCCCGTAAAATACAAAGTTTTTGAAGCCACAGTTAAGTCAGTTCTAAATTATGCAGAGCAAATCTGGGGTGTTGATGAATATGACGCAGTAGAAAAATTGCAGACATTTTATATAAAGAGAACGTTTCGTTTGCCGAAAAATACCCCAAATTATATGGTGCATTTAGAAACTGGTCTACCGACGCTATATACCCAAACATTAAAATTGCATTTTGATTACATCAATCGTGTTAGGAATTTGCCAGACAATAGGATTCAAAAAACATTAGCGCAGTACCTAATAAATGAAAAAACATTATTTTTTGAAAAATGGTCAAATCTGGCATCCGACTTAAATATAACTAATGATTTGAGTATTAATGAAAACTGGAAAATGTGGCAAAAAAATATAATAACGAAACTAAGTATTGAAGAACGTAGAAATTTTGTAGAAACGGCAAGAAACAGTATATCGAGAGATGCATATAGTAAGTTGAATTATGATCTAGATGTCAATAATTACTTTCACGAGCAATATGACCTAGAAACAATAAGGACAATCTTCAAAACCCGCCGCGAGCTCCTACGATTGTGCTACGTGCCGCACGAAAGACACGCTGTGCACGATATGCAACCTTAAATTGAAAGGCGATGTTATACACTTAGTAGGCGAATGCCCAATTTTTAAAGAACATAGATTGCTGTACTTCGGTAAACCCACGATCGATGTCAATGAAACCATACGGTTACTGAATGGTCCCAACTGGAGATTGTTAACGGCGTTTATTAAAACTACATTTAAATATAGGCAAAATATTATTAATGAAGATTTTTAAATTAACTTATATAAAATCTATTATTTTTGTTAAAGTAATTTAATTTAATTTTTATGTTGTATTCAGCTCATAAGTAAGAATATCTATTTAATATTTATAAAAATTGGATTAATTAGTTATTAGTTAATTAGCTATTAGATTAACCTAAACTTCCGGCAGACGGCTAAAATGCCATAGCTGTAAGCTTTATGTATAGTTATTATAATTATATGTATTATAATTATTATATAACTTCGATGTAATATAATAACTTTAAAATGAAGTAAAAATAAAGCTACTACTACTACTACTACTACTATTAAATACATATTATTTAAAATAAAAAATTATTAAAATATTAAATACTTACGTTGTACATGAATTCATTTTTACCGCGAACAGCTGATTTTTGTTTGCATATCATCGTTCAACAGAGTGTGGTGACAAACACAGGACAGTTTGCTTTGAAATTTGAAAAGATTTATCTAGAATAGCAAACAGCTTTTTGCTGGATGAAAATCTTAAATAATTGTCAATATTTAGCAAATTTGTCAAGTTCGCAAAATAGGGGGGTTAATATCGACATAAATATATTTAGTAATTACTAATTACAATTTTTTTCAGTGTAGTTGTTAGAAATTTTAAATGTTATAAAACAAGTAAAAAACTATTTCTGTTAATCTAATTTGTCCCTACATTTAAAAGGTGCGCCTATTGTATTTATTACAGCTTAGAAAACATTAAGTCTGTTTGTATAATTGATAATAATATTGTAATTGATACACACATATTAACTTATATTCTTTTATTATCGAATATACATTTATATATACGGAAAAAACAAACATTTATAAACAACGATAAATTTATCTATGTATAAAAATGGTTCCAATAATAATTGAAAACCAGAGCGACTGTCCGAAAGATTCTCAAAATTTAATTTTATAAACATATTAATGATAGTTTCTACTACATTCTATATGTACATACATATGTATATACGTATATAATTGAAGTTTACAAATAGATTTTACTATTACGGTAGACAATATACATAGATATTGAAGTTATTTGTTATTTCAGTTTCGAACTTTAAATTAAACCACTGAATAGGAGCAACCAATCGCATAAATTTTGTAGGGCTTTACTTAGATTATGTTTGCCAGGTTTCTTTGCTATTGTGAGTTTAGGTTTGAATTTAAACAATTGAAACATGTAAATCTAGCTGTAATTAAACGTGAGCGTTATGATGTTATGAATAATTGTTGATCTTAAGATAATATAAGTGCACTTAAAATCTTGAAAGTGATTATAAAAGCAAAGCCTAATTTCATTAGCAATACCATATATAAATAGATTTGGAATCGTAGAACACATTTAGTTTAATTATTCACATTAAGGCAAACGGTTCAAAGTTTTATTAAAATAAAATAGTTTTGTACGTACTTTCGTACTGCTTTAATACAAAATGAACATCTTTTTCCCATTAACTGCTTTATTTATGTTGGGCATGTTGACAGCTGTTACTGCAGGTCATTATAAATCACAAAAGTTGCACAGAAATGGAAAGAATTCTTTTTTTCAATTGCAGTCTCTGAGCCCGTCTGTTCCTACAAAAATTCCCAGGGTGAGACGGTATTTCTGAAATATTTGCCTTATTTAAAAAAAGGCGAAGATTATGTTGATTTCGGTGCTAATGGTTTATGTACCAAGCAAGCAACTTGCACGGAAACGTTTAAAACCGAAGTTGAAGAGTAAGTACCACTGAAAAAGTTATCAAA